TTCACTTTCAATTTTCTTATCCTTCAGGGCATACTTGAACTTAAACAGGAATCTTCTCAGATATGAGATATTTTATAGCATTATCGTAAACATGTAGTATCTGGCTCACCTTCAGATCAAACCATCTCTGCTCTGCAGTTAAACAGGATTGCTTGCTCATACAGCATGACATACTCCTATTCCTACATACGTTCTCCTCTCTTCCTCTGTGTTGTTGAATCTCTCTGACAAATGCTATCCTGTGGCTTTAAAAGGCAGTGCTAATACATTTGCTTTGCACTGCTCAAAATCTAACATCTCAGAGAAAGCCTGAAAGAAAACCTGAAAGAGTATTCTAAACAACAGCTCAAGTGTTGTTCCTGTCTGCTCCTTTGATGGGAAGGTATTACTTCCCTAACAGCAAATATCTATCTTCAGTCAGCAATGGTGTGTTAGCAAGACGCTCTGGCTTTGAAAGTGAACCCAGCTTACAGAGTCCTCATTCTTGCCTGTGCTGCAGTTTACCATCACTACAGTTATTCTAGTCTTCAGGTTTACATTGTAAATAAAATCACTGAAATAAGAGCTAAAAATAACCTTTAAAAAGGAGGGAGCAAGGTGGGGGGAAGAAAAGAGATTTGGAACTACAGCCAAAGTCAAATCGATGAGATAAACAGATTCATTAATTGCCTCAAATCATCACAGACCCTTAAGCTTTTATTGTCTCCACTGCAGCCTATTGTCTCTAGTTCAAATAGGTCTGTTTATATGAAAAGTTTTTGCAGTATTGTAGGTGGTATGGTACTCTCCTTAGCCTAATGCAGGAAAGCTCTGAAGGATGGAGTTGCAAGTTCCATTGGCTTTAATGAATTTCTGTCCATGCTTAGTTTCCAGCAAATGTTTAAATAAAATGATCTTCATGAAAAGTAATTTTTTTTCCAAACTGGAACTGGGTATGACTGCATCATAATTGCAGTCATCACACATATTTCTTAATTCTAATGCAAAATTTGATCTTTTATGTTAAGTTTTTAAAAAATTAATTCCACTATGACTTTTTTATGATTGCATGATCATTTTTAATATTCAAATGAATGTTTATAGTCAAAATATACGTCTCTAAAGCGTTCAGGAAAGATACTTGACCTTAAATGCAAAAGTGCTGGTGATACTGGCACAGAACAATTCTTGTTCTTCCTCTTTCACATTAACTTTTTAACGGCAATACAAGGGCTACTGAAGTCATATAGCTCTATATAGATTCCTATAGTTAAATTCACATGGGAGTATGTGGGGAAGGGAAGAAACACCTAAACTCATTGTGGTGACTTCACATACTTTACTACATAGGACGGGCAGGGAGCTGTCCTATGCGTTCATCAGCATGTTAGACTTTTAGGAATACCACAGAGGAAGTCCTCCAAACAAGATTCCTATTACCTTCTATGTTGCAGAAGGCCAGTTAACACAATGCTTTCTACCTCCTTCTCTCTAGTTTGCCCAAACACTCACCTATTTGCACTTTAGCTATGAGACAGCTGTAGAAATCCAGAGTAAAGAGGATTCCAACACTTTGCAGTAGTTCACAAAGGATCTACTGACCATAATAGACCTCAGAGTCCATCTGTTTTCTGCCAATATCTGATGTTCCCAATGCCTTACGTGGAGTTATAAGACTGGGAACCAAAACCAAAACCAAACATGCCCAAACATGCTCTGGCCAAAAAGAGAATTTTAATTTATAAGGCACAGCCATATGATTATGTGTTGATGAAATCTGTGTTCTGTTCAACAGTGCTGGATTACCCTAACAGAAGGTAAAAGGTAGGTGTGTACTTGCCATTATTATAGCACCAAAAATGCTAGTTAATTGTAAATGGGTTAGGATCTCCAGAAGGAAGGCTGAACACTTCCACACTTAGGTGCTGAAGCTTATAAACAATCATGAAATATGAAAGTTAGGCTTTTCATTTTTAAATCTAAAGGGGAAGTGAATAAAGGCAGAAGCAACCGTTGAAGATCCGTGTAGTGTGGGTGGAGTCTGGAAGCCACAGTCAGTGCGATGGGAGGCTGAGGAAATTATGAGCTAACCACTGAAAATGAATCTTATCAGGTGCATCACACTTCTGTCAGGAAGCAATTGGCAGATCCCAAGAGGAGCAGCCACGCAGAGGCACCAGGCCATCACTGAGTAATTTTTGTGCTGCGATAAGTCAAGCCAGATAGATTAATCAAACAGTAACTTTAGCTAGCAAGATGATTCCATAGAAAATATGGGTAACTGAGGCTACAAATGAGTAACCCTAAACCACAGTGGGTAGCTTGCCTGGGCAATGACATCATGTGATGGAGAGTCTGTGAAGAGGAATTACATGTGGGAAAAAGGCATTTCTATAGGACTGGCCCATTAGTTTTTCTAAAAAGCCATGTATAAATTCTGAGACTGACGATTGTTTTTCTCCTCAGGATATGGCAACATTGCCCCAAGCACTGTCGGAGGCAAAGTTTTCTGCATCTTGTATGCCATCTTTGGGATTCCACTATTTGGCTTCTTGCTGGCTGGGATTGGAGACCAACTTGGAACCATCTTTGGGAAGGGTATTGCAAGGGTGGAGAAAGTTTTCAGAGTAAGCTTACGGTCAATTTTTCACTTGAGTTTTATACCTTGTCTAGCTTTTATTTCTGTCGCTGTCATCTGCAGTCCTTTTTAAATGTTGAGCACTGTTCACATACCTAGTTTAGATGATACTTAATCTCCTTCAGAATCCTCTGTAGCCAGCGGAGAGAAATAGGCTTCTCTAGATGGTGATGCAGGGGATATAGATGAGAGTCTGAATTTTCTTCTTGAGGATCCATCATTTTTCAGTGACTGTAGGCTGTTTCTGGGGAATATATCTCCTAAGCTAGGCGCCTCACAAGGAGCAGATGTAAAACACCCTTCAAAACACCGTAGGTTGCTTTTTTGACTTATTTCTCCTCACTGAAGATAGAGAGAAGTACTATAACTTCTGGAGGAACAGGGATGCACTGTAGGCCCTGACTGTACTAGTAACAAAGCCTAAAAGACTTGGAAAGCAGGATTACTGAAGTGGAGATGAACTTGGGAAGAGAGATGGCTAAGTGATATGTTTCCGCTGCTAGAGGACAGATGTATTGGAGTGGATCTGACTGGAATCTTCTTCATGGCATTTATCCCCCTGGCGCACCATAGGTACATCCTACACTATATTCCAGGATGGATTTTCTAGAGTTGAGCAGCTCTTATGTAATTTCCCCTAATGTAGTCAGTACCCTCCGCTTCTGAGTTTGTGTCACCGTAAGCAATTCTTTTGCAAACAGTGATTCCACAGAACTGGCACACGCCCTTTAGTTAACTTGCCCATGGTTCACTTCAGGGATTCTCTCTCTGAAGCAGAACTTCTAGAAGTGACCTGTGTGATGGTTCCCTTGGAGACAGCATAACTAGAGGTAAGTCTTCTTTCCAGGGACGGAGTGAATGAGGAGCTGTCCAAGCTAACTAGTTTAATAGGCATCTATTTCTAAAACATTCCCACAGATGAGAGCAAATTACTTGTAACAGTTTTTTGAAAGGAAATAATTGAATATTAAACTGGAACATGAGTGATTTTTCTCTTGATTAAGCTACTATGAAGTGTCCCAGACTAGCCATTGGGAGTATCTCTCAGACTAAATGTGGAAAAAAGGTGGCTAGTGATTTTTGATGAGGTAGCATTTACATGCCTGACCTCAGACTGCTGGAATAGAGCGTAATTTTTCAGAAACTGCATGGTTCTCTGAAAAATCAGGTAATGGAAAGACGGCTAAGGGTGGGTCTGCAAAAACGAAGTGAGACAACATCATGAATTTCTTTTTAAACTACCTTCTTCTTATATGTACTTCACCTCAAAAGATGAACCATTAAGTCTGGTTCTGTGCAAGAAAACTACAGTCCGGTGGTTATATGAATTTGAGAGTCAAGAAATCTTTGATTAATTCTCAACTTTACTACAGATTTTCTGAATGACTTGGGCAGGAACACTAATCTGTCAGCATGATAGTTTATGAATAAAAATAATGCATGTTCTATTTAAGATTCACAGACGAATGCTGTTACTACAGTGCCATACAGAATATAGCCCTTTGGCACATAGTAGAAGGTTTTTTCTGGCATTCAAAAATGCTTCTTACTTTTCTTGACTTAATGCACTTACTTGCTGTTTATAACCATCCAGAGCATTCCTTTTTCTCCTTGGTATTTTGTCAGCTTCCAAAGCAGTTTAAAGATCTGTGGTCCCTTTGAGTAGTCCAGGCGTATGTTTATTCATTTCAGTTCTGTAACGATTTTTGAGGGGTTTATATGTCATTTCCTTCAAATATTACTGATATTGAGGTTCAGCTATCTGAAATATTTTTGACGTAATCTAAAATTTATGTGCATCTTGGTAAATAGTCTTAATATTAGTGGTTTCCAAATTATATGATTATTTATACAATGATTGAAATAATGTATTAACACAGTATGTACGTATATACATGTATGTTGTTTGCTAATATAGAATATGGTAATTATAATTTTAGTAATTATTTAAATTACTATTTTGTGTTTAAATTTTTAGATGCCATAAATATTTGTACCAAGTCAGAAAATCCAAAAGTAGAGAAGCAATTCTTGATTTAATTCTGAGCCATGAACACAATTTAGTAAAATGTGTAACTCTTCCTTCTTACTTTGTAATTGTCTCTGTAAGGTACTCGAATTCAACATCTTTGTGGGAGTGAAACAGAGAAATGGCATAAAAATTAATAGACTAGAAGGGAACTAAAAAGAACAAATACAGGCTCAACAAACACTACCAGGATTGATGTCCTGATGGTATGTTGTCAGGTGGTACGCTTCATGAATCTGCTGGAGTTATCTGAGAGGTCATTGAGTGTGTATCAATGATGTAATGATAGAGTGTATTACATTTCCAGAAAGCTTTTGACAAGTTTTCTCATCAAAGGCTATAAGGAAATGAAGCTGTGATGAGATAAGAGGGAAGGTTTTCAGTAAGTGGTTAAAGGGGAACTGGAGATTAGGAACAGATGGTAGAACTACCAGTGTGATTCCATCAGAGTCCTTGCTGGGATCTTACTGCTTTAGTAGAAGTGGTCTACAATGATTCAGAAAGAGAATGAATATGTAGATGACAGAGTGTGCAAATTACATCTCTAGATATTTCAGGATAGCTAAAATGAAAGTGACTTATAATGAACTGCAAAAGGTTGATAAGATGATAGACGAAATTCAGTGTTGGCAAGTACAAAGTAATGCATTTTTCTTAGGGTTGAGGAATGTAATCCTAATACATATGCACAGGTATGGCCTTTAATTTTACTACTTGGAAAGAGAGCTGGGGTTCCTGTAAATGCTTCTCTGAAAATATCACTGCAAAGCTTAGCAGCAGTCAAAAAGGAGTGTCTGCAAAGGGGCTGAGGACCAAAAGGACCATACTGCCATTGCACAAATTCACAATGCTCTTGTACCATGAATATCATATACAGTTCTAATCGTCTCATTTCAAAAAGTCAATAACAGAAATGTAAACAGTGTAAAGATCTGCACCTGCAGTCCTTGTAGCCAGGTCTTTACGACTGCATTTACTAACTGCCTGCATTACCTGCCTTCTGTTGGTCCTCATAGACAATTTGGGCAATCCAGAATGTACCCTTGGGGAAAGGAATAGAAGAAAAAAGGGAGAAACTACGCATATGTGCTGGGTTTACATAATGCAAAATTTCCATGTGCAAATGGCTCAGTGCTCTGCTTCTGTCTGTCTTCAGTTACCTCTCTTTATGCATTCACCGTTATAGCTGTTACATGGCTGGTGTCAAGGCAGGCAAGAGTTCCTCAAATCCTTACAAACTTATCGTCGTCTGTACGAGTGGATGGGATCTGAAGGCAACTTCATCTTGCACTGAACTGAGGCAGTCTACAAGGGAAAGGGGAATGTGAGGTGATGCCCTGTGGACTTCAGTGTGCTTCTGGGACCCAGTAGATCAAACAAGTGTAGGCATTGTCAAATATCATCAGAGATATGGAATAGCTTCTGTACAGAGAGTAACTGAATAGAATTGTACTCTTTAGCCTAGAAAAGGGTTTAATGGCATGGGGAGATACTATAGAGTTCCATAAAATCATGAATCCTACGGTGAAAGTAAACAGGAAATAATTATTCCCTGCTTCTTGTAACATTGAAATGAGGGACCTGTCAGTGAAAACGCTTGGCAGTAAATTTTAAAAAAGTCCAGAGGAAGTATGCCTCATGCAAAGTATAAATTAAACTTTGAAACTCATTGCCATTTGTAGTGACCTGAAGCATACGTGCGTTAGAAAAAGAATTAGACAATTTCATGGTGGTGAATCCATTGAGGGCTTCACTTTGTCAAACAGTATAACCCAGACATAACCTCTGACACAGGAAATTCTTCTAACCATGATTACTGAAATAGAGGAAGGAATGCCAAAGGAATAACCCCATTTTATTTGTCCCCTTTTATAATCTTTTTCTAAGCTGTTCCTGGCTACTTTTGAAGACACGCTGTAGAGTTAGACAGACCTTTGGAGTGATCCAGTATTTTCAACCTTCTGTTATATAGAATGGTTATTTGTGCGGTGAAGCATAGCCAAATGAGAAGGCAGTACAGATGTCAGTGGTAATTTTGGTTTGATTAAAAGATGTGTGGATCTGAGTGGAGTAATCCAAACCCATATTCCTCCCAGTGCCCATCTTTATTGAATGGAAACTGCACTGCAGAGCTCTGCTGTCAAGTTTGTTCTCCACAATACACAGCTTAGTTGCACTTTTCAATTTTTTTCCCCTTCTGAAAGAGAAACAAATGGCAGATCTAGGTGTTTTTCATGTATTAGGCCCGTCCCACCCTGTTCTTTCCATATAATCTACCTGTGCTCTGTGGAAGGGCTTGTAGGGTTCATGGGTGCCTTGTAACTTCCTGCTATCTCCTTTGAAGCAGAACTTCACCAGGTCAACTGTTTAGGATTTTTTTTTGAGGCTAAGTAGCAAGCAGGGTATGTACACTGGCAGCTGGGAAGGAGAAGAAGGTTTCCACTTCAGCGCAGAAGTCTTTTCTTCCAATACATTTCCTTAACAGGTCTCTTCTTCAGCACAACAGTGTAACCGTGAGCAGCCAGCCCATGCTGCACAAGGGACAGCTTGCCCCTGGCGTCACCCAGTAGAGCTGGAAAGATGAAAGGAGAATTTCTCCCAGAAGGGCTGTGCTAGCGCACTTCTGCTGCCTCTGACATGACCTGTGTGGAACACCAGCAAACCTACATTAATTAGTGGCACAAATTAGAGCCTAAGAATGCTGCATTTAGCTATTACAGTGATCAGCCCACGCACTCTGTGTAAATTTTAAGAACTGTTTGAAC